TCGTTATTGTTGGCAGTGGTACAGAACACAGCAGCAGAGACAGGAAATACAACAAGACAAAATCACCATGGCCAAGACTGGCTACATGGGGAGAGACAATACCTGAGGTTATTTTACAAGAGAATGCATCTGCAGGATTGGGGAAGGAATTTCAGTTTACATCTTGAAAGAATGATGAATTTGGGAGAATATAATGTCACTTGCAATAACTGCAGTGTATCTGAATGTATAGGACCCAAGATTAGAGACCAAATTATTTTCATCATCATACAACAAAAGTTTGCTTTGGTGCCCCTGAAAAGCAAAGATTGGTATAAGTCACGTTCTGATCATATTTTTGGAATAATAGACCAAAGAAATCAATTAGCAATTGTTAGGAAGAAGAGAAGTATTTCATGTGTAGTATTAGGAATTATATTGCTTATAGCTATTATAACTGCTTCTGTATCTTTATCTCAATCAAATCTATCGCAAGAAATGAAATGGTTCAAGCTGATTTTATGAATCAATTAGTTCACAATGTATCAAAGGGTTTTCAAGCACAAAAAAGGATAGATGAGGGATTTTACCATATACTTGGGGGAATGAAGGAAACCATTATTGAAATAGGTGATGAATTGGATATTTTAGAATATGGAACACATTTGAAATGTGATTATAGGTATGAATTCATTTGCCTTACCAATATTAAACACAATGACTCCCAATGGGAGTGGCAGAGAATACGTAGACATCTGAGTGGGCTATTTGGGAATTCTACTGTTGCATTGGATATTGATGATTTATGTAAAATTGCTGATGATATTGCCAGGGTGGCTGATGAAGATTTGATGCCAGATAAGACTGCCCAACATATACTTGATTGGCTAGATGAACTCTGTAACCCTTTTGATAACCTTGGACATTGACTTATGTCTTTATATTATCCTCTTTATTGCCATTATGTTTGCTATTGCTGGCCATGCTGTGTTTTGGACCGTGTTTGCTCAGGTGCATTGCTAATCGGATAAAGGACCTTGGGACTGAGCTTCATATGCTCCGTCTCTGGCAAAAACAAAAGGGGGAGTTGTTGGGGATCTGTAAGGATGTAGAGGGCCACAGGCTGTTCATGAGGTCTCACTGATGGGCGGAGGCCCCTCTCGGGTGATTGATCTATGAGCAAAGGTCGCCTGGTTCGGTACTCCATTCTATGCATCTCTAACTTCCCTAGTTACTCATTAGTCAGTGTATTTGTGATTGGTGGTAGATATGTGCACGGACTGTGCGTGCACTGTCCTTGAGCACAGCATGGGTTATACGTCATTGTAACTTGAGAAAGAGCTCCTGTTATTTTACTATATAAGTAAGTGCTTTGCTAAAAATAAACGGAGTTGCTGCCATCTTTTCTCCCGCTTCATCAATGCGTGCTTGGAGTGAAAGATCAAGCTGGTCTTGATTCTTCAGGTGATTGGGAAATCCTAGGTCCTAGGTAGGCTCTGTAGCCAAATGAACTAGTTGTGCACAACAGTCCTCTCTGAAGAGAAGAGAGGGATGTTCATTTTTTCATCTCTTAATCGAGGTGGATTTGTCATTATGGTTACGCAGTGTTCAGGTTTTTTTTTTCTTTTCATTGCTGTAATCATCTCAGTTATTTTCCTGGTTCTGCTTACTTTCTTTTGTATGAGTTAGTTCTTTTAAGTCTTTTAGTGTTTCTCTGAATTCTTCATGTTCATTGATTTTTAACAAAGCAATAATATTCCATTACAATCACATTCACTTCCTGTTATTTAATTATTTCCCAGTAGGTGGTCATCTGCTTTATTTCTGATTCTTCTCTACTGCAAGTGCTACTCTGAACCTTTTGGTGTACATAGTAACTAACACTTCAAAAAATTCTAAAGGACTTTACAGTGAACCACATTCATGATCCCCCATCTTTGCAAAGAAGTTGGGGGAGATATTTTTCTTATTGCTCTTCTTTCCCTTTATGTTGTTTTAATAGTACAAATTGTTTTCCTGGTTCTGCTTACTTCCCTTTGTATCAATTCATTTAAGACTTCCAATGATTCATGATATCCATTGTTTCTTATAGGATAGTAATATTCCATTATATTCACATACCACGGTTTCTTTAGCTATTCCCCATTGAATGGGCAATTCCTTTGTTTCCAGTACTTTGTTACTACAAAAAGTGCTTCTATAAATATTTTGATGTATATAAGGCCTTAATTTTTATCATTGATATCCTTAGGGGGTAGTATATGTTTAATAATGGAACCTCTGGGTAAAAAGGTGTGAATATTTTAGCTATCATCTCAAATAATTCCAAATTATTTTCCAAAATGATCGGACCAATTTATAGCTCCATATGGCACAACATTTTATGTTTAGATCAGGTGTCCATTTTGTTCTTATAGTCATGCGTGGTATAAAATGTTGGTTTAAACTTGATTTCTGCCAAATGCTAATATCAGTTCTTGTCAAATAGGAAATTTTTGAGTTCAGTTGTGTCTAATTCTTGCTTATCAACTTTGTTCCATTGAACTATATTTTTATTTTTTAACTGTAGTACCAAATAGTTTTTTTGAATACTGTTTTACGTATAATTTGATGTCTGGAAGTGGTACTTCCTCCTTCATTCCCCTCTTCACTCCACCTTATTTCCCTTGAAATTCTAGACATTTTGTTCCTACAGATGAATTTTGTTATTTTTGTATCAATCATTAAAGTAACCCCTTTGCAGTTTGATAAACATAGTACTAAATTTGTGAATTAATTGGCATAATTTTTATATTACATTGACACAGTCTGGACAAGTAAGTTAATATCCTTCTGTTTCTTTAGTTCTTTAAATAATTTTTATAATTATATTCATATAAGTTTTGAGTTTCAGGATAGATTGATAGTTGTGCATTTTGCATCGATTTCCCTTTCTATTATTTCCTCTTAGATTTTGTTGCTGTCATATCTTGGTGATTTTTGTTTATTTATTTTTATATCTGGTTACTTTGTTGAAGGTCCCAATTTTCTCAGTTATTTCGTTTGCTGAATCTCTGGTGTCTCGTCATCAGCACATAGCAATAATCTCTTTACCAATATTTATGCCTTTAGTTTCTTTTTCTGTTATTGCTAATACTAGCATTTCTAGAACAGTGTCAACTGATGAGAGACAGCACTCTGGCTTTACTACTGTATTGACTGAAGCAGCTTCTAGTGCTTTTTTGTTTTTGTTTTAGATATGTACTTTTTTGTCATATTAAGAAAATGCCCTTCTTTGCCTATGATTTTTAGGGTTTTCTGCACAAATGAGCGTTGTAATTGAATATGCTGTATTTGAAGTGGTGTTTTTTGTCCTTTCTGCTTGAAGAGGGCCAAAATGGCATTACGATGTTGGGGTCAGTGCAGTATTCGATTTCGTACGTGTACTTGAAGTGTTGTATTTTAGAGACGCAGGACTTGGATTTCAAACCCCAGCTCTGCAGTTCACTGGGTGACCTTGGGCAAATCACTTATGTACCCTTGGCTTCTGTTTTCTCATGTGTAAGATGAGGGGATTGGACTAAATGGCCTCTTAGGTCCCTGTCATCTAGCTCTACATTTCTGATCCTATGACATAATAATATTGTTAGATTTTAATATACACGCATATAATTAGATTGAACGATCCTTGCATTCCCTCGTATAAATCTACTCTGGTTGTGGTGTATAATTTTTTGGATTATATTACTGTAATCTTTTTGCTAGGATTTCATTTTAAATGATTGAATTGCTTAGTGATAACTCCTTTGTGGTTCTTTATTTTTCCATGTTTTAGTTATTAAAGCAACATTTGTCACATAAAAGTTATTTCTTAGTGTTTTCTCAGTTTTAAAAAATAATAGCATAGATTGAATTTATTTTTAAAAATACTTAATAGAATTTATCCACATGTATAACTTGACCTGGAGTTTTAAAAAATCTTTTTGAAAGCAAACTTTTATAGTTTATATGGTAGCATTCCATTTGAAATATCAAAAATAGGCGAAGCAATGAAACCATTTGAATCCTTTTAATGTTCATAATAATTGGATTTGACTACAACTAAAGGGTTTTATCCTAATGAAAAGGAGGCTTGGAGCTCTTTGGAAACTCTCTAAAATCTTATTTAAAAAACTATCCTTTGTAAACATAAAAAGAAAAATATTAAGGAACTGCTGTATGAAAGGTATTTGGAGAGAACATGTTTATAGTCCTTGCCATTGTGGAGCCTAAAGACTGGTAGGACATTGATAAATTGGAGAACATCTAAGGGATGCATGTCAGGGTAGTAAAGACCTTCAGGAGCATAGCATCATAGTTACGGCATTAGAAGAGACTTTGGAATTTACCTAGGCCAGTTTCCTCATTTCCATTTGAAGAAGCTTTGGCCCCAGTAGGGCAAGTGAATTGTCTTAGTATTTGGTAGAGAAGCAACTTTGAGTCCAGGCCTTCTACCTCCAAATCCAGCTCTCTTCCCCCACTGTTATGCTTCCCCATTGGAAGATTTGAAAGATCTGAGAATGTTTAGCCTAATGAAGGGGAGACTTAAGGGAGCCATGATAGTCGTCAGTAAACATTTACTTAGCACCTACTATGTGTAGGTTTTTGAAGTGTTACTATGAGGAAGAGAAATTAGAATTTTTCTGCTTGGCCTCAGAAAGTAAGTAGAAGGAAGTTGTTGTGAGAGAAGTTTCTACATTATAGAAAGAAAAAAAATTCCAAATAATTAAAGCTGTCCAAAAGTGGAATGGACTGCCCCAGGAGGTAGAAGGTTTTCTTCACTAGAAGTTTTAGAGCAGAGGTTGGATGGCTCCTTACTGATGGGCTGTGTAGAGAAAGTTCCTTCCATCTCCGAATTCTCTGAATCCAGGACTCCCTCCACATTTCCACCCTGAGGTATACGAGGTTCTTTCATTTTGTTTGAACATATGGATTTTGTTATTTGGACAAATTCTGAGCAATAAGATCATTTTAGTTACAAGTGCTTACTTTATTTTCCCTAGGGACAGAATGGTTTCAATTCCAGAATACTATGAAGGAAAGAACGTTCTACTCACAGGCGCCACTGGCTTCCTGGGGAAGGTGCTTCTCGAAAAGTTACTTCGGTCTTGTCCTAAGGTGAATTCAGTGTACGTCTTAGTGAGGCAGAAAGCTGCCCAGACCCCGCAGGAGCGAGTGGAGGAGGTAATCAGTGGCAAGGTGAGTCCAGAAAATGATCAGTAGAAAATATGTGTGATACAATAAATAAGCCCGTAAAATGCTTCTTTGTATATTGAAGAAAGAGCTTGATGCAACTTGCCAGAACCCTTGAAATCTTCTAGTGTGCAGTAATGGTACAGTATTTCACTAAAATATTGAAAATGTGCCGAGAAGTAGAAAAATTATTAATCTCTATTGTGAGTACTTTTTGTAAAGTTAGAGAGTAAATTTTGTTTGGGAAAGATGCCGACTATGAAGCACTGAAGATAATTTGAAAAAATAGTGTTAAAGCACTTTTTAAAATATGGAATGTAAGTATTTTGAAGAATAGTAAAACATCATAATTTATCTTTGGCACTGCTACTGTATGCATAGTAAGCATTATCAGTTGCTGTATATTCCTTTTATTTGGAGGTATGTTCCACTTCTTTTTTGTAATGGTCATTGATGGCAGTTCCATGTATTGTCAGTTGCTCTTCAAAAGTGTGCAGTAATACCTTAGATTTCAAGCTGTCAGTTGTCTGGCATCTCAACCCTGGGGAGCATTGAGGAACTAGGAATTACAAAGAAAAATTAAGCTACTCTAAGCAGTAGTGAAAATATTCAAGAAATCCCACAAGGATTACATAAGACATAAAGTGATGGGTCAGTTGACAGATCTGAAGAAATTTGTTATCGTTGGTGAGAGGTGTTAAACAAAGTCTCACTAGTTCCTAAACTGAGAAGAAGTCTCAGAAAGAAAAGAGATAGGAGACAAACCCCCCCCCCACACACACAAAAGAAATACAAAGGCAAAGGAAAGGGAATGGAAAACAACAGAACTGGCAAGATTTAATTCAGTGGAGGATAAGTAGTGGTGAATATGGCATGGACAAACAAAGCCACTGACAGTGGTAAGAAAACAGTCATGTTGTAGAATATAAATATTGACAGAAAAAAGTTTTATGATTCCTATACTCTTATTTGCTAAGCTTTTTTTTGGGGGGGGGCAATTGGGATTAAGTGACTTGCCCAGGGTCACACAGCTAGTAAGTGTCAGGTGTTTGGTCTGAGGCCGAATTTGAACTCAGATCCTCCTGACTTCAGGGCTGATGCTCTATCCACTACACCACTTGGCTGCCCCTACTAAGATATTTTTGAAGAATTTTAGATTAAAAAAAAGTTTCAGCACTAATGTATTAAGTTTCAGTTATGTAGAAAAAAGTCTTTATATCCAGAGCATTTGTATCCCTAGGGATGATTGTATTTAAAGTGTTCTAATTCTTTTAGGCACATAGGATGCCATAGAGACCTGAAAGATGTAACATTCTCTTACCCTGTCCCCTCATACTTTTGCTGTTTAGCATTGTCTTCATGTACATAGTTTTAGTAATAGTATATGTTTATCTTTTGGTTGTGCTTGATTCATATACATGACTTCATTAAATAGGAAGTATTTTGAAACGGAAAATGCTTACCCTTCCTTTAATTAGACCCACTACCATCTGAAATGTGAAATAACATTGGACTCATTTTTTTAAATTATCATTTGGTTGATGAGAAGAAAAGATTTAGGGTAAATATTTGTCTTCATTATCATGTAATTTTTAAAAGATGCTTCTTAACTTCAGTTCCCAGATTTAAAAATCAACTTATGTAATACATTTTCAAAGTTTTGACATTCATTAGCATTTTAGTCAGCCCTATAGTTAACAAAAGTTACTGCCTTTGAGTTACATATTACTTTTCCTCCTTTAAACTTGTTCTTTAAAAATTATGACCTGTTTCATAGGGTTGCTGGAAAGGATACTTTGAGGAACGTATTTTGTAAACTAATATGCTATGTAAATGTGAACTTTTATTATTTTTTTAATCTTAAGGTCTCCAGAGTACTGCCTGTATAGTCATACCAGTTTCTTTAGATGCCTTTCTCCTTTCTTCCTTGTTGGTTTTTTCCGTATGATATGGTCTGTTAAACTTTTAGAGATTCATAGATATTTCGAGTTAGTTCCAAGTTGCTAGTTTCACAGAGTATATTTTCGTGTTATACTCTAACATACTTACGTCTAGTGTTTCTTTTCTTGGCTTTTATGAACTCTAGGATGATATGGTCATTTTTTCCTAAGGTTCTCATTGCTTCCATATCCTCAGCTGCTTCTTTCTTGGTCAGAATTAAATTCAGAATAGAGCTTCTCTGTTCTTGCTGAGAGAGAATAAATTCTTCACTTGCTAACAGTTGTGTTAGGTGCTCTGCTTTTTAGCAGATTGAGTCTTCTAGCAAATGTCCAAGTACCTTGAAGTCCTCTTTCGTTACCAAAGATTAACCTCTTGGCTAGTTAATACAAAGAAAGATTTGTCCGTGTCTTTAGTTTGAATTTGTTATATACTAACATTATAATATTTCTTTCTTTCCTTTTATTATCTTTCCCAGATGATCTCTATCATACATAGAACCCTAGATTAGTTCTCCACTTAATAGCATAGGAGCTCCTGGAAAACAGACTATCTTTTTTTTTTTTTAAATCATGAGTATCGTGGACATTATAGGTGCTTAGGAAATGATTGTCATATGAATTACAAGGTGTCAAAATACCTGGGTCTAACTCTTTCATTTACTATAAATTATAAATTTACATTATTTCTCTGGACCTTAGTTTTCTTATTGGCAAAATAAGAGAGTTGATCCCTTTCCCCCTCAAATTCTGTAATTCTGTTTCTCTTTTGAGATTTGAGTGCCTCAGGTGTAGGAACTGGGCAATCTTGTACTAACCATGGCTCGACTATTAAATAGTTATGTGGCCTTGGGTACATTAATTAATGCCTCTGTGTATCAGTTTTTCCCATCAGTAGGATAGGGGATGGGGGGTTAGGCTAGAAGATTTCTAAGGTCCCTTCCAGGTCTTCTGTGTTGGGTTTTGGAGGAAGAAAATATGATGTAGTTGGAGCATTGGTCACCAAAGGCTTCACAGAGGAGGTAGGAATTGATTAGATGCAGAAGAGCATTTGAGTTAGGAAGGAACTAGTGTTAGAGACTAATATCAGGGTGCTGGAGTGATAAGCTTGTTATGTTTTTTAAAAAAAGATAGGAGCTAGTCACTGTGAAATAGAGTGGTAGGTTTATGATGGGGAGTAGAAGTAATGTTGTTGAAGTAGTAAAATGTAGAGAGCGTTGAATGTTAGGAAGTAGATTTGGGACTTTATCTTTTGGACCCTGGGGAGGCATTAGAATCTTTTGAGCAAATGAGCAGACAGTATGAAAGCAGTATTTTAAGATTAGTTTGGAGGTGTTGGTGGACTGTTGGCAAAGAGACTAGGAGAGGCAGTTTAGGTGATTTAGTAGTCTTAGATAATTGAGGCTTAAATTATAGCTTTAAGAGGTGAGAAAGAGAAATGAATCAAAGATATTTTCTTAATTAGCATTTGTGATATTAGCAGGAAGAATGATGACTGAAATAGGTGAGGTTTAATTTAAGAGCTAAAGTCTCAGTCAGTAAGCATTTTATTACATGTTTACTCTATGCCAGGCACTCTGGAGCATTGGAGAAAAAAAAGAGGCACAAAGACAGTCTTGTCTTCAAGGAGCTGACAATCTAAAGGGGGAGACAAAAAGCAAACAAATATGTAATAACAAGCTATATACAGGATAATAGAAAATAATCAAAAGGGAGCAGGCACTAGAATTAGGTTTGGGGAAAGCTTCCTATAGAGGGTGGGATTTTATTTGGGACTTAAAGGAAGACAGGGAAGCCAGGAGACGAAGATGGGGAGGAGAGCATTGCAAACATGGGGGACGTGTCATCAGAGAAAATGCCTAGAGTCAAGAGACGGAGTGGCTTGTTTGTGGAACAGCCAGGAGGCCAGTGTCACTGAATTGAAGAGTAATGTATTGGGGGGAGTAAGATGAAAGAAGGCTAGAAAGTGTGTGTTTGTTGGGGCTAGGTTAGGATTTTGTATTTGATCATGGAAGTGATAGGAAGGTACTGCAATTTTTTTTTTTTGGCAGAGGGAGTGACATAGTCAGACTTGAGCTTTAGGAAAATTATGTTGGCAACCAAACGGAGGATGGATTAGAGTCAGAGAGACTTAAGGCAAGCTGACCTTACCAGCAGGCTATTACAGTAGTCCATACATGAGGTAGTGAGGGCAGAATAGTGGCAGTGTCAGAGGAAAGGAGGGAGCTTATTCAAGAGATGCTACAAAAGTGAAATTGTTATATAAGTCTTAGCAACAGATTGGATATGAGAGGTGAGAGATAATGAGGAGGCAAAGATGACTTCTAGGTTGTAGCACTGGGAGAATTATGGTCCCTTTAACAGTAGGGAAAATTGGAGGGGGTGGATTTAGGGGGAAAGAAAATGAATTCCATTTTGGACATATTAGTTTTAATATTTCTACTGGACATCCAGCTTGAAATGTTTGAAAGATAGTTGGAAATGTGAGATGGAAGGTCAGCAGAGAGGTTAGGGTAAGATTGGTAAAATGGACTTGAGAGCTTATTGTAGTTCATTATTTTCATTTTACAGATGAAGAAACCAAGGCACAAAGAGAATAAGTGATTTTCCCAGGGATGGGATGATCATGATACTCTTCATTGCCACTATGATTTAGAGAGTATGAATTTTGCTTTCATTGGCTGGAGATAGAAGGGTACTAGGGGTTTGCACCTTATAATTTAGCCCCTCATTTTCAACTCACTAGTAACAGAAGTAGAACTTTGTCCAGATCTGGGAGAAAAGGAGGACAGCAGAGTAGTTAAGAAAAATCCCTTTAATGAACAGTATGTTCCAAAAGTCTTTATGCAGTTTTAAACTTTAATAGAGTGATTGGCAAACTACAGTTCCAGAACTGCAGTCCAGAGCTAAGAATGGTTTTTACATTTTAAAATAAAGTTTTATTGTATTGAAAAATGTTAAAACCATTCTTCTCTCTCAAGCTACATAAAAGCAGCTAACTGGCCAGATTTAGTCCTTGGGCAGTGATTTAGTGGCCCTTTCTAATAGCTTAAAATTATAGTAATATACTTTGGCACACCTTGAATTTTGTCAGATTATTCTAGCTAGGATAGTTTGGCTTTGCTGAAAGGAGGTAGGATCATTTTAGGTCATAAACAAATAACACACAGCATGCTGAGATGTTTTCCTTCCTCAGTTGTGTTAACTGCTAGATGTGCCTCATCTTAATATTTATAACCTGTTAAAACAAAGATGCAGCTTTGTTCAGCAGGTGAAAGGTTGAACTCTAGGTTTGGTACTAAATTTAGACTTTAGATTTCTTGTTTAAAATGTTATCGTTCCAACTGCTTGTACTCTTGGCTTTATTATTTTTGTTGAGGAGCCTATGCTAGAATCCTTATGGTAATTTTTGGTTTTAAGGGAGCAAGAGAGAAGTAAGCGTTAACCAGTATGAGCCACTTTACTTTTGAATCAAATTTTAACCGTGCTAATTTTTTTGTAGCTGTCATTAAGTGGGAATACTTGGAATCTAAACATTTTTGTTGAATTGGGTTGAGTGCTGGCTGAATGGAAATAAATTAATGGAAAGAAAAACTGTCTGCTGAATTAAATGATTCGTGTAAATTCACGTGAAAAACATTTGGGGAAGGGGTGGTGCAAGATATTCCACAATCATACCTCATACTTTCCTACCTGCCCTCTTTCTTCATGCTGTTTCTTTTACCTGGAACGCTCTTCTCTAGCACCTCTATTGAAATTGTACCTTTCCTTCATGGTCCAGCTCTAATGCTATCCTTCCTTGAAGGGAAGCCAGTTAAGTAGAAAAAAAGGCTAAGTTTGGGGACATGTATTTGAGGTAATGGTGCAATATTCATTTGAAAATGTTTGGCAAGTATTTGGAACTTGAAAGCCTAGAGCCAATGAGAAACTGGAGCGGGAGGTATTTTTCGCTCATATGAAATGAGGACATTAGATAGAATGATCGCCAAGGCCTGTCACAGTTCCAGATTCTCTAGATATTCACTTCCTTTGTGTGGAAGTGATCATTGAATCAATAAGAATTCATTGGATATTTGAGTTTAAAGTATATACTTTCTGGCACATAGTAGGTGCTTAGGAGTATTGTGAAGAGTGAAGATTAGAGATCTTGACTGAGCCTTGAGGAGAGTGAAGGAGAGTGATGAAGGGGAGCCAGTAGATAATGGCAAGGATGAGGCATTTCAGGTAGCAGAAAACTCGGAATTGCTGACTGTCCCTAGGAAGTGGGGTAATGGGATGAGGTATGGGAGGAATGGTTTCAAATCCTGTAGTCAGTAACCATGTATTTAGTGCCTACTCTGTGTCAGGCACAGTACTCAGCTCTGGGGTTATAAAGAAAAGGAAAATACCATCCCTGCTTTTAACTAGCTCACCATCTAATGGGAGTTGGGGGAGACAACATGCAAATACAAACAAACATGAGTACAAACCAGCCTAATATAGGCCAAATGGGTAATATCCAGCAGAAGGGAAGCACTAGAATTAAGAAGGGATTGGGTAAGGCTTTCTGTAGAAGGCAGGATTTTTGCTGGGACCTGAAGGAAGAAATGAGGTGGGAGAGCATTCTAGGCGTGTGTGTGTGTGTGTGTGTGTGTGTGTGTGTGTGTGTGTGTGTGTGTGTATGTGTGAATTCCTGGAATCTTGTTTGAAGAACAGCAGAAGAAGCCAGTATTACTTGATCAAAGTGTGTATAGTGGGGGGTGTAAGGTATAAGAAGACTGGACGGGAGTGGGAGAGAAAGCAGGTTTTGAAGGACTTTGAATGCCAAGTAGAGGATTTTATATTTAATCCTGAAGGTGAGAGGAAACCACTGGATATTGAGTATGGGGTTGACATAGTAAGAGCAGTGTTTTAGGAATATAACTGACAGTGAGTGGTAAGGAGGAAAAATTTGTGAAACAGGTGCCAGGATCACATTAGCTAGGAATAGGAAAGTGTTTTCCTTAAAGGTTGTAGATCTTGGTAGAGATAAGCTGGCAAATCTAGTATAAATTGAAGACAGAGAGGAAGAAAGACAGAGGTGGTGGATGAGTTGTTCAAAAATGGCTGGCCCAGTGTAGAGACAAAGAAAGAGTTCATTCAGTTTATTTCCTTTTCATATTGATTAAAAAAAAAATACACCAGACTATATCAGGCAGTCCCAGTGGTTTTCTGTGTTGGTGGTGTTTTTCCTCCCTTTTGATATATTTAACCTTTGGTTTTGAAGTCCATTTTTGAAAGTCAGTACTACTCAAATTTGCCTAATTATATCATTAAATGTTTGGAGGCTCTTTCTTGGATCAGTACTTTGCAAAAAAATTCTTAGAATACGACATTTTTAGCCCTATCTTCCTTTTTGTTCTTTTATAGCTTTTTGACAGACTGAGAGATGAAAATCCACAATTCAGACAAAAAATCATAGCAGTCAGCAGTGAACTCACACAACCAAAACTGGCCCTTAGTGAAGAAAACAAAAATATGATCTTAGATTCTACTAATATCATATTCCACTGTGCAGCCACTGTCAGATTTAATGAAAATTTAAGGTAAGTCTAGATATTTATATGAATTCTTAATTTTGCAATTTCTTTTAAAACTATTTGATAGAGACTAAAAGGTAAATTTTATTGAAATAGCCTACTTTTTTTAGTCAAAGTATGTTGAAATTATGTGCAATGTTTGGCCGGATGCTGTGTGTGGTTTTCAATGTCTTGATGTTTTCAAAATAATTTCCTTCTTTTTTTCCTTCCTTTTCTTCAGTTTAAAGATGCTGGAAAATTGTGTTTTTACCAAAAACGTTTTTGCCAAGATTAAAGCTTCACTTTCTATTTCAGAGGAGAAGTAAAGTGAGGGAGAAGGAAGGGAAGCTGTGGGGAAGTTGGTGGAAAAATTTAGGCTTATCTGCTGTTCTCTTGATACTGTTTTCATTTTTTCTCTTGAGTAGTTAGTTTCTTATTCTTTTTGATAGCCCACTTTGTCCTCAAACTGTTAGCTTTTCACTATGTTCTCCTCCCCCTTTGCAGATTATTGTTAGGACATTTTATCTTTCTACTCCATCTCCTGTCTATGAAGACCATGTTCAATAGTATAAGCCACACATTTCTCACGATGACCTTTTAAAGGAGTGCCTTCTTGATTTTAATCAGAAGGTTTCTTCAGGAAAAGAAACACCTGCTTTTGGCAGGGGTTTTGGGGGGGGGATGGATTTTAAAAATACCCAATATTATTAGAAATCTAATTAGTGTAGATTTAAAAAAAAATACTTGTAATGATGTCTCTTCCCAAGATGGCAGGGGGAAAAACCCACCTTGTTAAAATATTACTTAACACTTTGCCAATAATTTTTCAGAATAACAAAGTCCCAGTCTCTGTGGAGTCCCAAGTTCAACACCCTTCCTACAACACCATGATGCATCTAAACAAAACAGATATATCTGCACCAAGAATTTGCAGAAGATAATAAACTAGTTTCAGTCTCTTGTGATACCCTTTATTTTTAAAGGCTTGTTTGTTTTGTTTTGTTTTTGTTTTTATAAAGTTTTGTTATATTGTATATTGTTACCACAAAGCTTCCACACAACAGAAGCAAGCCCTGGCCAGTGGCCAGTCAGAATAGTGCCTTGATCTCTGCTCAGATTTTCTATTGTGAATTCAGTATAAAACATCTGTTTGGCATACCACTATTGCAAGAAGAAATTTAAGGACACTGGCCTTTGTGATGAAAATTCATTAGCCGGGCTGGTCAGGTAATAAACAAGTTCACATCACCCTGGATTTCTCACATATTTCTTACACTGGACATACCTTCTTTCCCAGAAGGCCCCTTCTGACTGGCTGATTCCTCCCAGAAGACTCTCCATTTTAAAGAAAATGTCCAGGCCAGTCATTATTCCTTTCTAAGATCCACTCTTGACTTTCTGTATAATGTTTCTGTCTGAGTATTCTGCCCTCCCCTTTTCAGTTCATTGTGTGTGTTTTCTTTCCCCTAGAGAATGTAAGCTTTTTGAGGGCCAACACTGGCTTTCTTTCTGTTTTGTATTTATATTTATGCCTTTTTGCCCAGTAGTAAACATTTAAGAAATTCTTATTGACTTGGTTTTCCAGTAGGTAAATTAACCTTTTCAAAGTAATCCTTCCTGGAAGGATAAAAGTAAAAGTAGAAAGTGGCAAGGGAAACCCAGATATCCACCTCTATGGAAGAAATCTCTGCTTTTGTTACTGCCGATTCATTTTTCCTTTCCTGTTTTTTGTGGTAGGGCCCTGTGTTTACAAGTCACTTAGAGTTCCCATTTGATCCCCATAGTTCCTGTAAGGTAAAATTTAAAACTCAAATGTTAACTCCCATTTTATAGATGAAGACATTGAGGTTTATGAGAGGTAAAGTGAATTGCCAAAGGTCATACAACTAGTCAGTGGCAGAGCAAGGACTCAGACGCACGTGTTCTACTCCGAATCCATTGTTCTTTTAACAACACACAAAGGAGGGGGAAAGGACACTGTTCTCCTCTCCTTGTTGTGAAGAATAAGGGACCACTTAGTCATTTGAGTGGAATTCTTACTTTCTTTGTGATATTCATCATTGGGGTGTCTGATCTTTCCCTCAAGGGGCAGTGGCTGTCTTGCGCTCAGCTTGAGAGCTGGGCAGCGGCACACTGCCTTGTATTATGAAACATGATGAAATCTAGTGACATCATCGAACACTAATCAGAATTTAATACAATCGGTAAATCAGCCAGCAAGCATTTATTAAGAGCCTTCTCTGTGCCAAACTTTGGGGTTACAAATACAAAAGATGGAATATTTCTACTTCCAGAGAGTTTCTATTCTAATAGGGGAGACAGCAAATACCTGTATGAGTACACATAAAATAAATGTAAAGAAAATAAACCCAAATGAATAAATGCAAAGTAGTCAATTATGAGGCAGTTTAGGAAACATGCTATCTGGAGATGGATAGAGCCTGATGTCACTTTGTAGAGTTGGGAAAATAGGCTCGTTGCTGGCAGACAAATGAGTGGTGGACACTTCCTCATTTCTCCTTTTTTAGATGCTTTATGCACACCCTTAAATCGTGTCTCCTCCAGTGTGCACCTCCTTTCTGTATGCTTCTATCTAGTTCATCTGTTCCTTTTATGATTATTTGCTTTAGTGCCATTTCTACTTCCTCTGGTATCACATTGGAAAATAGGATGTTAGAGTCTAAACCTAATGGCCCCACTATCACTGTCTGCTATTTTCTGTTCAGTTTGTTCCTTAAACAACCATTTTGTTGCAGATATAAAGTGATAGGACTTTTATAACCAGAACTAAAGAAACTCTTACTTTTGTTAAAAATTCCCTACCGCAGTCTTATGGATACCATTTTAAATCAGACTCAGTTTAGTGAAGCTATTTATTTCCATGTCCTTGCCAGTGATGATGCTTATATATTATTTTACATAGTATATTTTTACATTTACGTTTTATATATTCTGATTTCACATATTACGTTTACATCCACATTATTCTCAAATCTTTGCTATGTGAATTAATCTTTGAACATAATCCTGTTTGATATAAACCTATTTTCATTTCAAAATTTTTGCTTTTTGACCTAATTCCCATTTTTAAGTTTTTATTGTTATGATAACTTAACAAAAACATTCATATAAAGTATGAACGATTTATATGAAATTACAGGCTCCAGATAATTTTCAGTTTGTTAAGAATGTGTACTGAGTTCACAAAATTTCTTTTAAAAATCCTGTTTTCTTCTGTCCTTATGCTTTTATGTTTCCCCCTCATCTTTTGTTTGTTATAGTTTTCATCTACATAATGTTTTGATTCTCCTTCACCACTTCATAATATCTTTTTATATTTGCTATAATTTTTGTAATTGTCATTTGTTATATGATAGTATGCCAGTCCATAAATATATTAGAACCTGTTCACCTTTTCCTCATTTGTTGGACATACAGGTTGTTTCCACATGTCTAATTAGTTGCAAAATCTTATAATTTCTTTCACCACAATATCCTTTGCTTAGGTCTTCCTGTCTCTACACTCACATGACTTCCACCCTAAATTACACCCTCCTTACATCTTGCCTGGACTATTGTCATAGGCTCCTCATTGGTTTCCCTGCTGCTAGGCTTTCCTTCTCTTTAATCCATCCTTCTCATAGTTGTCAAAGTTGAAAGGCGGCATGAAGTAGCAGATAGAGTACTGGGCTTAGAGTCAGGAAGATGGGAGTTCACATCCTGCCTCAGTTGTTTACTAGCTGAGTGACCCTGAGCAAGTCATTTAACCTCACTGTGCCTCAGTTTCCTCATCTGTAAAATGAATAAGTTGAACTCCATGGGTTCTAAGGTCCCTTCCACTTTTAAATATTTAACCTTAAGATTTTTCTAAAATGTTTTAGATCTGATCCTGTCACCTCATCCCTGTCTTACTAAATTCTAGGGGCTCCCTAATGCTGCCACAGTCACATGTATGGCCCTTTGTTTGGTATTGAAAACTCTTCATAAGTTTGTCTCTTTCTGATTTTTCCAGTCTTTGGACATTCTGCTTTCTTCCATGTCCTGCCCTTTGGTCTAGCCACCCAGGCCTGATCACTGTTCTTCGCGCACGATGCTGTCATCTCTCATGTCTGTGCCTCTCACGCTGCTTCTCTCTCTCCCAACCTGTAATTTACATTAAGACTTAACTCAAGCACTGCCTCTCCAGGAAGTCTCTTCTTGGTTCGCCTAGCTGCTAGTTCTCTACTCTGTACTCTGTATCTTTTAACTTCTCATCTGTGTTGACTCCCCCATTAGAATGTTGCTTGTGGCTGAGGATAATTTTACTTTTTCTTTGAATCCCTAGCTCTTAGCACAGTGCCTGGCATGTAGTAAATTCTTAATAAATGCTTGTTAATTGATTGACATATGAATATACCTACTATGAATATTTTTATACAAATTGACTAGGTACATTCTGTGTTGACCAGAGTTTTGAATTCATAGGGTCACAGACTTTGAGCTGAAACAGACTCTCATTTTAGAGATGAGTTATCTCTCTGAGACACAGAAAGGTTGTGCAACTTGCCCAAGGTCAAATAGAGAGTAAGAGGCAGAACTGTCACTTGAACTCAAAGCCTTTGACTTTTTTCCACTGACCATTCTACCTTCTCAGTGCTGGTGGCAAACATGTAATCTTTTTAGAGGGAGATCTGTAAGCACGGTGTAGAATAGAGGTCATAGAAATAAGCAATATTCTTTGATCCAGGAATTTTCTTACTGGGCATATACCCTGAAAGTTAGGGTTTTTATTTAAAGAGCTTTTTCTTCGAAGATGTTTATAGCTATATTTATAATTGCAAAACAAAACAAAACTAAGAACCAAATGAAATGTCCATTAGTAAAGGAATAATCAGCAGCTAGGTGGTGTAATAGATAGGGTATTGGGCCTTGAGTCAGGAAGACTCGTCCTCCCAAGTTCAAATCTAGCCTCATACGTTTCTGACCTTGGGCAAGTCACTTCACCCTATTTGCCTCAGTTTCCTCATCTGATGTAAAATGAGCTGGAGAAGGAAATGGCAACCACTCCACTATCTTTGCCAAGAAAATCCCAAATGGGATCACAAAGAATTGGACATGACTGAAACAATTGAATAATAACAACCAAAAGGGGAATGATTAAACACATTGTGCTACATTAATGTAATGTAATATTATCATCTGATTAAGATTGACAAGTTTGAAGCATATGAGGAATATTGAAAAACTTTTATGAAATAATACAAAGAAAAAAATGAAGAACAGAGTTTATACTATGATATAAAAGATAGATGGGTAGAAATGTCCTGATGAAAACTTAAAGAAAATGAAACATAAGTTATGAGATTTTATGGGATGAATTTAATTTATTTAATTGCGAATAGTTCAAAGTAATTTAATTGATTATTATATATTTGTTTATCTATTTTTGTACATTTTAATATGTTTTAACACACATATATGCATATATACACACGTACAGAAAATGTGGAAAAATTTTCCACGCACCTCTATTTTTAAAAATAGGATAAGGTTCTTTGGGTATCAAAGTAAATAATATAATCTTCCAGTTATGGCTAGATATTAATTATGTACTTTTCTTTACAGAGATGCAGTTCAACTAAATGTAATTGCTACTCGACAGCTTATTCTCCTCGCAAAGCAGATGAAGAATCTGGAAGTGTTCATGCACGTATCAACAGCTTATGCATACTGCAATCGAAAGCATATCGATGAAGTGGTCTATCCCCCTCCTGTGGACCCCAAGAAACTAATTGATTCTCTAGAGTATGTCTTTTTATTAAACTTTAGAGTTATGCAGAGATTTTAAAAAAATACACATACGTGCTTTTCTTTCAAGTAATTTTAAAATCCCTTCCTTCCTCTCTCCCTCACCAAGTGTTTTGGCCACATTTAAAAAAAATCTGAGCATCTGTCGCATCTCAGCACCATAAGTGCTGATGTTCCTGTACTTTCCATAAACGATTCGTGTGTGGGAGTGGCAGCATGGTGAAGTGTACTCGGTTTGGAGCCTAAAGATCTGTGTCTGAATCTCTGGTTTCTACTTAATGCCTGAATGACTTTGGGCCGGCCACTTGATCCTCTCCAGGCCTTGTGTATTCATTTGTAGAAGTTGTGGTTTGTACTAGACCTTCCTTTTGCAAGTGAAGGTGGGAATGAACGTGGAAGGAAATCCCTACCTACTTCACTCTTGATAACAGAGACTAAGTGTTTCCTTGAAGTTGAAGATGGAGGTAGTAACAAGTAGGTGAGGCCTGTTCTTTTAATGAGTCATCATTACTTACTCCTTTCTAGTAAGTAGTTGGCAAGAGAGTATTTCTTATTAGTTAATTCTGACTTGGTTAGAACATTCCTGATTTCAGTAGTAGCGTTTATCAATTGCTGCACACTTTTGAGAAAGTGGATGCTGTTGTTTTCTTTGGCTCATCAAATTTGAGCTGGGAATGTTACTTTCTTTTTAAAAATTGACCTGCTATCCCACTTCCCAATCAGCTATTCCAAACTTTTTCCTCATACAACCCACTCCATCTCATCATAGCATATAACCCAACCTTCTGCTTTATGGAGAACATTAAGGCCATCTGAGTTAATTTTTAACCCTAGCTCATGACAAACTCTTATGTTGGATGTAGGTTTATAGCTTTAAAAAAATCCAAATGTACTCACTTACCAACTGTGTGTCTTTGGGCAAAAACTGAACTAGAGCAGTGGTGTCAAACTCAATTAGAAACAGTGGGCCATGTGTTGACTTAGGAAGCTACAAATTAACATTATTTTTATTGTATTGTATTTTTATTTTGTTAAACATTTCCCAATTACATTTTTGTCTGGTTCCCTACTTTGATATCTCTGAACTAGATGACCTCCAAGGTCCTTCTCTTCTGCTTCAAAATCTGTGATTCTACACAGAGAATAAATGAAGATTATTCATTCTGCAAAAGGATTCCTTTAACAGTAGATTTAAAATATTCCATTTTGCACATAACTTTTTGAGGCCTACTTACATCTGTGTTATCCCAGTTTTCTTGGTATTTCGATCCCTACTTTCTACCAAATAAGGCACAAAAAGGCCCCTTAGATAAACTAAACTATGGAAAAAGTGAGGTGTTTCTTCTCGTGAAAGAATACTCATTGACTTCCTCCTGGGTGCAAGACTTGTAGTATCATATCTATTCATATGCATTAAAACAAAGCAGACCTATTTTCTCATGGCAGAAGTTATTAATTTCATTTTTTCTTGTTGATCTTGGAATGAAAAGTGCATAGTTTTTTACTGTTATTTTCTGTTTGTTTACTTAATTACCTGTTTTAAAAGTTTATTATGTTCCTAGCATTGGCAGGTCAGTCTACTGACAGCATTGAAATCTTCTCAAACTTAAGGTTGACTCTTGCATTCAAACATAGTCTTTATACATATGTACTTACGTATATACATGTATAAAACACAGAGTACGTTGTAAATTTGTGCTGTCTTTGCTAGATTTTTGTAAAGTTTTTGTTGTGTTTTTTTTTGGGGGGATAAGAGGGAAGTGGGCAAAAAGTCTAAATTATTTTTCACTGAACAAAGAAAAACCAGTTGAATTAAATCTTTGAATGTTTATTCATGTTCACTGTGTTTGAGAAACTGTTTAAAAAACACTCATTAGAGTAAAGCATTTGGAAACTAAATCCTCTTTCTTTTGTGACTGCTTTGATTATTAGGTGGATGGATGATGGACTTGTAAATGATATCACTCCCAAACTTATAGGAGACAGACCTAATACTTACATATATACAAAAGCCTTGGCTGAATATGTTGTACAGCAAGAAGGGGCAAAACTGAATGTGGCAATTGTAAGGCCCTCAATTGTTGGTGCCAGTTGGAAGGAGCCTTTCCCAGTAAGTCATGGCTAGAATATAGAATGTTGATATATCTACACGTTATGAAGTGTTACATCTGAGAAAGTGAGGTGTAGACTAAAATTTGACAAAACTATGAATTGTAAGGTAATTCTTAATTATTAAGTAATTATAAATCATTAAAGTGATAATTGATGAACATGGTTCCTTATAAAAGTGACTATTGTTTTAAGGTAGTTTTAGGAAATAGTTGTACTTCTGTTATGATGCTGGATAATATATAGGAATTAAAAATATTAGAAGTGTATATTAGCAACATTGAAATCTTCTCTTTTACTGAAAATTAAGATGGAGGGGTATGAAGTCATAGCATTCTATTCAAATAAGACTTGTTCAAGCCAGCTTTCCCTATGTTTGATATGAAAGTCTACAAGAGTAAATTTAAATTTTATATGAATTAGTTATATGAATTTTATAAAGTCTAATTTTAAATATATATGTGTGTGTATATATACATACATACGTATATATACACATATATACATATACATATACATACATATATGTGTGTGTCTATATATACATATATATATATATATGTATATATAGACACACACACACACACACACACACACACACACACACACACATCATCATCATGGCCTTCAGTCTTCATCACTGATTTGGGATCCTGGTATAAAAGAAAAAATGGTGATGGTCAGAGCATTTAGGAGTCTTACTCTTCCACCTATAGCCTGGCCAGTCCCTTAAAGACACTAATCCTTCCTTTCTCCTTTGGTCACAACATTAGAAAATAAGAATACTTGTGAGGATTAAGATGTAAACAAATTTTAGACTTGAATATAATTTATATTTAATGAATTGCTGTTCAACAGAGTATACACTTTAAAATACCTGAAGCTAAGTCACCCTGGAAATTAGATGAGTACAGGAAGAAAACTGGTCTTTTGAGACAATGCTGATTGCTTTGTTCTGCTTATATCTGTTTCCTCCTACCGGTTAATTTTAAATAGGAAGATTTCCTTATCATCCACCCTTCTGCTCAGTGGACTACAACCATGAATTTATGTAAGAGCAGTAGAATTGTTATGAGTTAAATTGTGTTTGTTCCAAAGCTTATGAAGAGGCTCCTAATCCTAGTCAAAAGCTGGGAGGTGGCACTTAAGTGTATAAGCACAACAAAATTTCCCTCCCTTTCAGCTCCCTTATAGAAGTGGTAAAATCTGTTTGCATAAAAGTATTTGTTGGGATGCAGATTTCAAGGAAGGAATCTGGAGTTTCAATTTCTAAAATGATTATATTTCATTTGGTAACAGGGATGGATCGATAACTTTAATGGACCAAGTGGTCTCTTTATTGCTGTGAGTAAACCTCTAATTTAATTAGTGTTACATATTTTTTTTCTTCCTTGCTTAGATAATATGAGTTTAAGTATCTTAAGCATTATGTTTGTTTTTATTTCTCCGAAGGCAGGGAAAGGAATTCTTCGAACAATGCGTGCTTCCAACAATGCCCTGGCAGATCTTGTTCCTGTAGATGTAGTAGTCAACACAAGTCTTGCAGCAGCCTGGTATTCTGGAGTTAATAGGTATATGAGGTGACAATGTGGGCTTATTAAGTTATTATTTGAAATTGTACTTAGTGGGGGTAAATGACTTAGTAATGTGAAATTTGACTATAAAATCAGAAAGTAAGGATTTTTTTTTTCTGAAAGACTGCTACACTTTTTAGAATTTCCGTAGTTGTACAGAAAACCAAGGGAGGGGACAGGAGTTGGGTGTTTAAGATTAGTCGAAATTCACCCCAGAATAACTGCATATTAATATTTGCTTCTATGGTTCTAGAGGTGTTTTACCTTCACTGAACCTTTGTGACATCCACCTACTCTATTCTATACCTCTCTCACTGATTTTTTTAGTAGAAATCATGGGCTACTGGACAGAGAGCAGTCCTGGAAGCCAGGAATTCCTAGGTTCAAGACCTGCCTCTGATACATGCTGCCTGAGTGGCCTTAGACAAATCAGTAAACCCCTCAGTGCTCTTAGGAAACTGTCTGAGACTCTTAAGTGCTGACCTGCTTTGGTAGCTCCCTTACATGGGAATTCCCTTTGCTAAGTAAAGTACAGGTCTAACATCCGTTCCTAGCCCTACTTTACTACTAAAGGAGCAAAGTATTAGGTGATTATTTGCAGATATTATTCTGGGCAAAGGAAAGCTTGGTCTATAATTTGGCCCAAATTAGGCTGTGCAGAATTTGTCAAGAACAAACAGAGAGAAAAGAGATCAAAACAGTCTTCCTTATTTTCCTTAACTTTTTGCTTATCTTTGGTTTTTTTAGAATGGTTAATCCTGATGCAAAAGGAGAAATTATGCAGAGGGAAAAAATGCATATGTAATGAACAGAGTTATTCTGACCAATATTGTTTCATAATTCTGTCATTAATACATGATAACCAAATCTGACAGTTACAAAATCCCACTGCAATGTCATTTAACTGATTTATCCATTTATAGCATTTATGACATCTGTCATTACTCTGGAACTGTGTTTTGCCCAGGTTCTATTTTCATTAAATCCAGTTAATTATCAATAGGTGGGTTATATCTATAGTTGCTGTTGCAGAATTTGGGGGGTATTGAAGTACATGAGCAATTAAAAGTACTTAAGCTAATAAATGTAAGTTAGCCCATTAAGAACAGTGGCACTGTAATTAATCTAAAAAGTACATAGATTTTTGTCATACTTAGTTAAAGGTGTTCTATGCAGGGTAGGCTTGGCAGTTTTTGTTTGGTACTTATTCTGGTATTTGACTTTTCAGACCAAGGAACATCATGGTGTATAACTGCACAACAGGCAGCACTAATCCTTTCCACTGGGGTGAAGTTGGTATGATTTTTTTTTTCCTTCTGCTTTCTATAAATCTTAGAACAAATCTTAATGCTACTGGGTAGAATAGTTGAGTGGCTGTGTTAAAGATCATGTGTTAGAACTATTATAATTCTTGAGGACTTAAGGCTGTTCACGGAGAACTGATTTTCATTATCATTGCAAACTTAGTTGTTATACCCACCAGCATGATAGCATGGGCCTTGTGGTTGTACTCTTGAAATGAGGAGAGACCTTGCTGTGTATTTCCCATCTGCCATTTTTACCCATTCTTCCCAGCTTGTCCTTTTCCCTCCCACAGTTGCTCCACCTCTCTTGTGGGAAGTAATGCTCCTTTCTTGTTGACTGGGATTACAAGCTGTACTTTGTCTGTGGCAAAATGAAGTAGGTTCAGTGGGCATCGCTCCCAGCTTTGAGGGCTGGAGACAGTATAATGGGAGATGCTCCATAAAGTAGATCCCGAATGGCAGCAGATGCAGTTTGCTTGGGAAATGGGATGATGCCTTAATTTCTGCTAGTATCTTGTGACACTTTGACCATACCATAGCATATCTGTGGTCAATTTTGAATTGTTGTAGTAGAAATAACAGTAAACTGAGTACTTTAGAGGCCTGGGTCCTTGTCATCGCTCTGCCACACCGTACCGTTGTGATGACATTGGCCAGCTTGCTCAGCTTTTCTGTGTATTAATTTCTTCAACTTCAAAATGATAAAAGAGTTGGCTAAGGTGTACTATGGACATATGTGGCATAAAGACAACTCAAGTAGAACCAGGTTCTGGTTTTATTTGGTCAGTTTTAATGCAAAATGCTATTTATGTTATTGAATGTCAAGGTCAAATTCTACCTGGAATTGAATAATTATTTTCAAATAAACATTTTAATTTAAAATTGCATATTACTCTATTTTCCAGGTTTCTCCCATTGGTTTTCTTAACTTATGCTACAGCTTGAATTAAAACTATTTAAATTTTCAAATAAGGCAGACATTTCTCTCTTTTTTTTTTTTAATCCCCTTCCGTTTCTATTTTTCTATAGGGCAGGATAGACTTCTGTACCCCATTTCCTGTATTTCTTATTTTCCAGTTTCATGTGAAAACGGTTTTTTTAAACATATGTTTTTAAAACTTTGGGTTCCAAATTTTCACCCTTCTTCCCTCCTCACCCACCCTCATTGAAAAGGCAAGCAAGTCAGTATAGGTTATACATGTGCAGTTATGCAAAACACTTTCATAGTAGACATGTTGTGAAAAACTAACTATTTGCCTCAATCCTATTTTGCCTTCCCATTTATTCTATTCTTTCTTTTGACCCTGTCCCTGCTCAGAAGTATTTGCTTCTGAGCACCCCCTTTCGCAATCTGCCATCCTCTCTATCATCCCCCTGCTCTCTTGTCCCCTTTTCCCCCTATTTTCCTGTAGGGTAAGACAGATTTCCATACCCAGTTGAATGTGTATGTTATTCCCTGTAAGGTAGACATTTTGAAATTCAAGCTCAGTTAGTGTTTTATAAAGTTTTAAAATTTTGGAATAGATACTAGGTTGCTGTTTAATAAGTTATATATACTCCAAATGAAGTATTAATATATCCAGATGATAATAGGGAAATTTGATCTATATGTTAAGATTTCATTAAGATATTTGAAAGTGAAAAATGAAATAATGTTGGGTGACTTTACTTTTTTATGTGTATGACTTAGGCAGTTTAATTAAAAGTATTTGCAAGAAAAAGATCATGATTTTCCTTTTCTTTTTAAAGTAAGTACAGTAATAAGAAACTGGAAAGAGGAACAGAAAGAAAGAAGCTATGGTGAGAGGTGCAACATAGAAAGTGACCTTATAACGTGTCCTTGGTAAAGCATTCATGGAAATGCCAGAATGAGCTTTTAGTTCTTGGTATATTGCAAATTAAGAAGAAGAGGTAGGGCAGCTAGGTGGTGCAGTGGATAGAGCGCCGGCCCTGAAGTCAGGAGTACCTGAGTTCAAATCCGGCCTCAGACCAAACACTTGACACTTACTAGCTGTGTGACTCTGGGCAAGTCACTTAACCCCAATTGCCTAAATAAACAAACAAACAAATAAATAAATAAAAAAGAAGAGGTAGTTCTCAAATCATTTGTGTTCAGGGGGCATATGTCCCCTCCCCCTTTTTTAGTTACTCTATAAGGTTTCGTTTTAAAAATGGATGCAGTAATTTAATTCTGACATCTACAGTAAAAAGTATTGTACCTTGTAAAAATGTAATGGTTTTCAAAAGTTCATTACATGGTTATTACCAAACCTGTTACACAACTTTTCTTCCTCAGAATACCATGTAATTTCTACTTTCAAGAGGAATCCTCTCGAACAGGCCTTCAGACGGCCCAATGTAAATCTAACCTCCAATCACCTTTTATATCATTACTGGATTGCTGTGAGCCATAAGGCCCCAGCATTCCTGTATGATATCTACCTCAGGATTACTGGAAGAAGCCCAAGGTAATGGTGACTAGCTCTGTCTTATCTGTTCCTCTGACTGTGAAAGCCATGCTGACACTGAAATGAATGTTAACTCTGTATTTCTGTTCATGCTTATGATTGAGGCTTAATGGCCTTTGTGAATGAGAAGACTCTTGAATTCAAGACTTTTGCCTTAAATGGAGAAGTGACCTTGTAAATCACCCATTCCATTCAGCCCTCCTGGTGACTAAGTCACATGTCGTCTTGAATTCAAGATCTCACTTTAGGTTTTTCTTGGAACAACGTTATTCAAAAATGCTTTGACGCTTATTTTTCCTACAGGATGTTTTCTAAATCATTTCTTCAGGATGAATCCTTTAAACCAAGTGTTCAGGCGCCCCAATTTTAAGTTTTATTCCAACAACCTATTGCTTCATTATTTGAAGGGTACCGGTCACATAGTACCTGCCTTATTGCACGATCTTGCACTCAGGTTGACAGGTCAGAAGCCGTGGTAAGAAGAACCGTGCTAAGTACACTTTGTATGGTGAGGTGGTGGAAGCTTGCTGGAAAGGCGACAAGTCGCTGGCATGGGCTTTATCCTTAGTACTACTAAGCTAATTCATCACAATCACAATCGGGATGCCAGGACATTTCTTAGAGATTTAATTAGCCCTGTTGGGACACCATTTCTGGTTCTCACGTCTTTGGGCTATTGACCCTTCAGTATTCCACTAAAAAAAAAAGAAGAAAAGAAATGCCCAGCACCAAGGTTGTCATTGTTATTATAAGCTGAAAGTGAATCTCCTCCCTCCCTCCAGCACTCCAAAAATTTGAGTGTAGGTTTTTGTAGAGGGTTAAGGGTAAAAGATCTTCCTCCCTCCGGTATTTAGTACTTTTTCCTAGAGAATAAATTATTTCAAATATCTCTGCTTCCCATTCAGCTTATAATATGGTAATTATTTTATTTGACTAATTTTCTAGATTGGGAAATGGCAATTTAAAAAGCAAAATAAGTCTTAAATTTTCTGTTTCATTTTAGTTGTTTTAGACATTCCTTCTCTCCCTTCCTAAATTAAAATCCTCAGATTTAAACAAGAGCCTTCTTATTACCTTTATTACATAAATAGAGTGAAGCTTATTTGCAAAAAAATTTTTAGTTAAATGATACTTTGGTAGAACCTTTTGTTTGAAAATACAGGGTTTGAGTGTTTTTAAGGAAAATTCTGATTGTAGAATATAGTTCTGGTACTCAAAAATCAGGGCTTATTAGAGTGTCAGGAGCTGAAAGCTACTTGTCACTTTCATTAGTATAAGATGAAACCATATTATGGTTTTCTTTTGATTTCATCTATCTCTGAGGTTCCTCTTCCATATTCCTGTTGTCCACTATGTCAAACAGCAAAATACATTAGAATGTTCAAAACTAAAATGTGTAAGAGAGAAATGGTTTAGAGTTTCTAGACTAGTTTTCTATTTTCCTACAAAAGATTTGTATGTATCTTTGGCATTGAGAGTACTTTTTAATGGATAATTAGATTGTTCAAATCTTAGGAAAGAACACTATATGTGCCTTTTCTTGATATTAAAAAGAGTAAATGTCACATTTATTACTTTCTTACAGTGTGGAAGGCTAAAGCAAGTGGCAGTGACACAGGAGAGCAGATTATGACACATAATATGTGTGTTTATGTATACCTTGCATATAGTAGTCACTCTTGAAGTATTTGTTGAAATTAATCATTGTTGAAGTTTATTAATGATAAGTAAGAACTTCAGTGCATTTCACTACAAACTGGCATTTAGCTGCGGCTAGAGGCATATCTGAATACTGAGAATAATCTTGAAAGCACTGAAATTCAGGCAACAACGTTAAGCTTTTAAAAAAATTAGAAATGAAATTTAGAGTTGTCCCTTTTGTTATTCAACAAATCTTTATTGAGTGCTTACCATATGTGCATTTCCTTAAATATGGTAGCAGATTCAAAAATAGTACAGTCCCTGCCCTGAGGAAGCTTGGGGTCTTGTTGGGAAGATGATTTCTGACACATGACTCATTTAAAGGATGATACACAGAAGGAGGAGGTCTTGAAGTGACTGGTGCGTGCAAATGGTGAGGGCTGCAGGAATTCAGCAGGGGGCTGGGCTGCCTGGGAAAAGCTTTGTGACTGAACTGAGAATTTACCTGGGCCCTGAAGGAGGAGGAGGAGGAGACAAAGAAGAGTTCCTGTTGGCCACCTGAGCAAAGAAGTCAGCATGCGCACAGAGTACTCAAAGCACCAAGGGTGTTTGTTTTGGTGAATGGCGGGGCAGTGAAGTTTGAAAGGGGGAGTCAGAGCATGCACATCATTGAGTGCCTTGAGGGATTTGCATTCTTTCCTTTAGGCACTGGGGAACCATTGAAAGCTTTTGAGCCAGACTTGATGAAAACAGGCTCCTTGATTCTTAATGTAGTGGACAGAGTTGGACTAGGAATCAGGAAGACCTGATACAAATCCATCCTTTGCCACTCCTTAGCCATGTGAACATAGGCAAGTTACTTAATATTTTTGAGCTTCCATTTCTTCATGTGCAAAACTGGGAAACTAATGGGGCCTACCTCCCAAAGGCGGTTGTGTGATTTAAGTGAGATAATGTTTAATGAAGCACTTTACAAACTTTAAAGCACTAGGTAAATCCCAGTTGTTTTTAGTTGATGTGACAGAATCTCAGTAGTCAGTAAACATTTATTAAGTACCTACTATGTGCCAGGTACTGTGTTAAGCACCAGGGATACCAATACTGAAAAAGATAGGTCCTGCCCTCAAGGAGTTTACAATCTAATGGGAGAAGACAGCACATAAAAGGAAACTGAAGGAGGAGGGAGAGGTGTTCAGCTGAGGTCATGGTGAAGAAGTCAAAGAAATTGGAAAAGAGTGCAGCTGGATGGGAAATGAGGAGTATCGGAAGTGATGACAGTCTTAGAATTGCAAGGAGCCTCAGCGGCCATCGAGGCCTGAATCAGAATCCGCTGTGCAATGTCCCAAGTAGTTGTTCAGCCTCTACCTTTAATACATCCAGTAAGCAGTAAGCTCCTCCTTGCCAGGGTGCCCTGTGCCACTTTTGGACAGCTCTTTTAGGAAGTTTTTTCTTATATCTATGTGAAATGTGCCTCTGTGACTTTACTCTTTGCTCCTAGTTCTGCCCTCTGGGACGCCAGTGTATGAGGGAGTAGGACCAGGTGACTTCTGAAGTCCCTTCAAGCTCTGATCCTTCTTCTCTGTCAGTCTGGTAACACAGGCCAAAAAAGGGAGTGCCAACCTGACACAACTTGGGAAGGCACCAAACTCTTCTTGCCGAATGCACGACCATTTCACTTTGTAATGGCTCACCAGCAGTCAGTCCCTTTTACCAGAATATTTCAGAATTTTGCAAGGAATTAAGATCAAGCTCAGTAGCTTACAGTTTCGAGAACCTTATCCTTTTCTCATTTAGAAAGTCAGATGATTTTCCCCTTTTTGGTTTTACAGCACCACTCTCTCTTCACATAATCTTCACATATTATTGATAGTACCTCAGGAAACTCATCCGCTGGTTCTTTCAGGACTTAGGCTAAAGTGTTTCACCCAGTTAGACTGTCTCCTCCTTGAGAACAAGGCCTGTCTTCTTTTTCTGTTTGTAGTCCCAGTGCTTGGCACATAGTAATCTCTCAATAAAAGCTTTTTCCTTTTCTCATTCATGTCGTTAGGCTGGCCTTGTGAATTCAGCTCATCGAAGGAGCTACATGCTCCCTTACCATCCACTTACTCATCTTAAACTCACTATTAAACCCTATCTTTGTTCCATCCTTCTTATTCTGAAGTTCATTCTCCTGCATTGATACCTTGCCTGTCTGAAGGTTAAATTTCCAAAAAGCTCAGCACTCTTGAATATGAGTAATAAGCCTAAAAGTAAACAGCAGAAGGTTTCTCTGAGCACTTGAAATAGCTGTCATAGAGCCCTAGAACTAAAATAATTTCTTTTTTATCTGTGGGAGGTGCTCTTTGGCTGTCAACCACAGAACTATTTACAGTATTTAGCACCCTATAAAATGCTGTATTCTCTGTATGATATTATAGTACAGGGATTGGTCTTCATATTGACCCAGGATCATCCATTAGGAAGTGGTTAAATTATGGTGAGCATCCTCTTTTAAGAAACAGGGAAATTAAGATTAGTATAGTGAAAAGACTATTGGACTTCGAGTCAAAATACTTGGGTTATTCCTGGTTACCCCTTATTAGCTGTGTGATCTTAGGGAAGTCGTTTAAATTCTCTAAGCCTTATTTTGCTTATCTATAAGTGAGTGAGCTGGATTCCATGATCTTGAAGTTCCCTCCCAGCATTAACATTCTGTAAAATTAGAAAGATTTCACTGAAAATGGCTAAACTAAATTTGAGTACTTGGTAAATGTAAATTTTCTGGAAAACTCACTTTGGAACACCTCATTTCCCAACTTTACTAGACCTCAAAACATGGTAGTTTTGTTTTCTTTACCTTTGATCAGTTCAGATCCCTGAGATGAACTATGTTAATGTAGTTTAGGGTGAAAACTTGTATTGGGTGGCTCTTGTATTGTTAGCTAAACAGTTAAAGAATTGATACTCATTAAGTTGCCATCGTGAGCATTCTCTCATTAAAGAAATTATATTCTTACAAAACTATTCTTACTACCCTGGGAGAATTTCTGGAATGAAATCTGCATTAGAGACTTCCAGGGTAGCATGTACTGGAATTTCAACCCCATGTAGCACATGGGTAAAATAAGCTTGTTCTTTTGCACAGGAGGGAAAAGATTTGTGTATATGTATGTTAGAGGCTTTTCTTTTCGTAGATATAACAGGGGAGAGGAAATAATTGGCAGCTGCTGATGACTATCAGAAGACTGGATGAATGTGCCTTTTTTCTTCCATAGTGTATTCTAAGCCTGAAATGTTGTTGTCAGCCTGGCATAGGGGATGGAGAACCAGCTATAGAGTCAGGAAAACCTATGTCTGACCCAGACTTCCCGGGAGCCTTG